TGTGTGTGTGTGTTATCATATATAGATTTTTAATATCATTATATATCATGATAGTGATTTCTAAGCAAATAACCAGTGTATTATTAGCTAAGAACCATTTATAGAATATGTTGCAAGTTGGGTTCAATAGTAAGTTGCGCATGATTTGTACTTGTATTCAAAGAATAATCATTATTGTAATAATCAAAGAACACCAAAAAATTGCTAATTCTATGTCTGCATACTTATGGTTTGGTTATTTGAATTTCGATTCAGTGTGTACAGTATCCCCTGCCCGTTTCTCAACTAAAAACTTGTAAACATAGAAATTTAGTTAACATATATTTTCATAAGGGCGTAACTAATTAAACTTAGCTTTGTCATTCAGATTGGTTTGTTCCTACGTGATATGCACTATAGATATGTAGTGTGAACTTGCGCTCCTGATATTAAGATTTGTTAACGTATCCGATAATCTTTTGGAGGAAATGTGTGACAGCACAACGTCATATATTTAGTATTTGAGTATGTCCTTTGGAGGCACGGGCCAGTCACCCTATTTTACCCAGCCTATGAGTCTATCTTGATGGAAGGATTCCACCGCCCCTCTGCATGCCTTTTGTGGGGAGAATCCTGAAGTTGCACACCAACATGGCATTCTTTGGGAGGAGCCCACAAATCTTATGTTTCTTTGCCATTCACGTCGAGCTCATCTAGCTCCTCTGCTCCAATGAGAGGATGCTTGGGCCAATTACATTGACACTTGCCTTCGGTCCTCTGTCACTCCACATTCACCACGGTTGCCGCTCACCGTGTTTTTATTGTCACAATCTCAACTAGCCAATGCAGGTCGGGCCAAGTACTGGTTGAGATCAATTAGAAGAGTCTGGCCAAGGAAGAGGTAGAGGGGAGGAGAAAGCGGTTCACCACGCGATAATCCATGGATGAGGCGAGACTCATTTACTACCTCATGAACAGTAGACAGGGCAGTCTCCAGAAATTTGGGGCCCCGGTGCGAAATGCCAATTGGGCCCCTAAAATTTCTAGGTACTTGGCTTTTTTATATAAACAAATATGAATGAATTCAAACACTACCGAAATTATAGGCTTATCAAGAAATAAAAACAAAAAAAAGACTAAACCTGAGTTTTTGACAAAAAAACTATTTGGGAAATCTTGGTGTGTGATAGCTTGGAGCCTACTATATATCATCCCTGGACAATTTGATTGATGAAAAACTGATTCATATGCACATGTACTCATTAATATTGTAATTCAATAGAACATAGTCTGATATAAACAGGGATTCAGTTTGAGAAAACCCGGTGAACAGATCGGTGATGCCATCACCTTGGTCTTGGCCACCCGCTCCTTTTACTTGTACAGTGCGATTTGTGACTTGCCGAGACCCCAACGGCCAACAGAATCATGGAAGCAATTCTTCATGTTGGCAAAGCTGTGAGCTACGTCCGACGGCAGGAGACGAAGGGATCAATCCTTTCACGACCTAGATCGATTGATCCATCGACAGGTTGAGGAGCACGCCCAGTCCGGGCCCAATTTTGTGCTAGGAGTGAAAAAAAAGCCCAAAGCAAAAATAATATACATGACATTGACCCAAGATCGGGGGCCCTTGGAATTTGGGGGCCCTGTGCGGTCGCACAGCCCGCACAGGCCCCTGGACGGCCCTGACAGTAGATTCAGAAGCAAATGACAACAAGAATAAATAAATAGAATTAGTTTTTTTTTTCATCGAAGATGCTGAGCTTGCCAGGAGTGTGTAAATTTATGTTCCCGACACAATCGGTCTTGTTGGTTAAATTTATGGTGTAAGTTGAATCTCGAAAAGCACGGGCACCCTATATTTTAGAACGGAGAAAGTATTTGGGAACTGATTTTGTGTTGGCCCATGTGGCTCCGGCCCACGGTCAAACACATCCCAGCCCGGCCCGGCCCAGCCCATGATGAGTGGTCACCGTGGGCCAGGGGCAGAACCGTCAACCGGTGCCGACCAGCCTGCGGCCACCAAGAGCCGGAGGGGCAGAGAGAGCAGAGACAGAGAGACAGAGAGCGATAAGCAGAGGGAGCTCCTCATCCGCCTGCTCCTGCTCCCTATATATAATCCCCAATTTCGTCTCCCAGCATATAAAGCCTCCCGATTTCGAACCCCTCCCCCGATCCGAACCCATTCCCACCTCCTCCTCCCCTCGCCGCGCTCCGCTCCAGGACCCGCCGGATCTCGGCCCCCGAGGGATCATCAATCCGCACCGCAGGTGATTCCCCTCTCCGTCGCCCCTTCGATTCCGCTGCGCAGATCGAATCGCTGCCTGCTGTGTTGCTCTGTCTCCGGGTTCTTGTTGGTCCGTCCGGGATCAGTCCTGCCCGCCGGAACGGGCCGGGAAGCCGTCCCCGGGCCCTCCGCTCTGCTTTTCTAGGGTTCGTTCGTTCGTTCGTTCGTTCGTCCGTTAGCGGTGGGAGGGGGGATTCGCCCTTGGGCTTGGCGGATTCCTCGATGGATTCGGTGGGAGGAGAGATGCCGCCGGAATGGAGCGGAACGGAACCCCGCCGGAAAAAAAAGAGATCTTTTTATTCGTCGTTCCTTGCGGGGGCGGGGGATTGGCTGATCTGCATCTAGCAGAGGAACCGGCCAGATGACGCACGGGAGGGAGGGGCCATTGATTGTGGTTGATGTGTAGTAGTAGTACTAGCTTAGTGCTTGTTCGTATCGAATCATCATCAAATGGGGGATCTTTTGTTCAGAGACGATTCACAGTTTCACATGGCATGGATGAATCGGCTCTGCTTGTTGTTATAGTACTAGTCTAGTACTAGTCTTTACTCTGTATGTGACATGAATGGATACTTATCTAGCTTGCTGCTAATATCTGACAAAAGCGTGCTTGTTTGGCGCAGGCGAAACGATATGGCCACCTTCGAGCTGTACAGGCGGTCCACCATTGGCATGTGCCTCACCGAGACGCTCGACGAGATGGTCTCCAGCGGCACCCTCAGCCCTGAGCTCGCCATCCAAGTGCTTGTCCAGTTCGATAAGGTGCGACCGCTGAGACGTTCTTTCTTCGGTTGCCGCCAGTCTTCCCCTTCAGATTGGGGGAGCATGATTCTAGTTATCTTGTGGATGATTTGATTTATGGTATGTCTGTGTTTCTCGTGTGTGCAGTCTATGACGGACGCACTGGAAACCCAAGTGAAGAGCAAGGTTACTGTCAAGGTACGTGGTTCGGAAAAAAAAAAGCTGTCATTTTTCGCGCCATTTCGGTGTTTGCCTGCTCGGTGGGCTCGTTATTACTTGCCGTATGCTGCTGTGAATTAATTTGTCGGGTTCTAAAAAGGTTATGACCTTTTGGGGTATAATAAATAGTTTTGCTGTTCTAGATAGCGGTCAATCAATATCCGCACGACACGTGGTACCAGTGCTAAGTTTGCACTGCAGTTTAGCTTGTTTGTTCACATCGCAGACCTCTGTAAAGGAAACAAACCTTAACTTTTCTTGTTTTGCTACATATATTGCTTACTTAAGATATCGTTCACAGTTTCCAAGGCCATAAGGGCGAAGATCCTGGGAAATATGTCTTTCATACGTTGTTCTGAGTTCAAGGGATGTCAGTCAATTTGGGGAAACTCTGGAATTGTGTAAAAAACCTGTTTTACTAAACAAAACCTGTTGACAACTTGACATAATCTGTGTTCATATCTAAAAAGATCTTCTTAAGCTACCACTTACTCATTGTGACCATAGTTTCGGACTTTCGGTCACCTTAATTTACATGATGTCAAACAGTACTGGTTTTTCTCAATAACCAAAGCATTAACATGGAATTTGGAAGAAAATATCCTTTTGTAGCACAAATGAATTGCAGTGGAACGCGTTGGGATTTTTTGCTTGCCTGATTGATCTTGAATAAAATGAATGAAGTTATCAACATAGTATCAAATAACTTCTGATATCTGATTGTGGTTCAAGGTTCACCGTAAAAAAACTAAACCAAACAGGATTAGCCCTTGGTGGCATCTTTTGCTAGGAAGAAAGGCGAGCACCAAACTTTGCGGAGGCTGAGCCTCGAACGCGGGTTGCCAGGCTGCGAGCACTTCAGCCGCTCTAGCTAGCCACCCGAGCAGACGCTTGGTCTTGCTCATGGTTCACTATAGCAGGTGCCATCTTTCACCATAGCAGGCGCCATTAAGGATTTCATTGATTACTAGATATGGTTCACTGTTTCCAAGGCCGTAAAGGGCAAAGGTCCTGGGGAATCTGTTTGTATACGTTGTTCTGAGTTCTAGGGATGTCGCACAATCTGGGGTAACTCTGGAATTGTGTAAAAAAAGAACTTTTTGCAAAACAAAACATGTCGACATAATGCATGTTTTACAACTAAAAAAGGAGCTTCTGAAGCTGCCACTTACTCCCTCTGTAAACAAATATAAGACGTTTTAGATCACTACTTAAATATTTGTTGACAGAGGGAGTATTTCTTATTTTTCTTTTGTATCAGTCACCTCGATTTGCATGATTTCAGATACTACTGGATTTTCTCACTATCCAAGACATTAACATGCGTTGGTGATTCACAAATATCCTGCTGGATTTCCTTTATATCCAAAACATTGACATGTTGACATTAACTGTATGTTGAAAAAAAATCCTTTTACGGCACAAATGAATTGGAGTGGCACGCATTGAAATTTTTCGCTTGCCTGAAGTTGTCAACAATAGTTTTAAATGACTTTTGGTATCAGATATGATGGTTCATGATTCACCCTAAAAAAAACCTCGCCCAACCAGCACCACACCTGCGGAGGCTGAGCCTCGAACGCGGATGGGCGGGCTGCGAGCACTTTCAGCCTGCTCTAGCCAGCCACCCCAGAAGACACTCTGTCTCGTTCATGGTTCAGTTGCCAAAGGATTTCATTGACTCCTTGTGTCCACATTGTATTTGAACCTGGTAGAGAACTGATCAGAAACTTGAATCCCCTGTCTTTCTGGATTGAACAATTATTTTGTTTGCTTTCAACTACGTGTAGCACTTTTACATTTTTTTTCTGTCAAAAAGGAGTCCCCTGTCTTTTTATAGAAACCAAAGGTAATTGACCTGCAACACCTTCTGAACAAATGCCACTTGTGGCATGAAACAAAAAATATAGGCATATACAGTTTTTGTGGTACACATCATATTACTATTATCTTTGAAATTGCTAAACAGTGAGCAGACTAGGTGGTACCCGGGCATGTTGTTGGTCCCACTCCCCAGTGAGCAGACTAAACCCTATTCCCTCCTCAACTCTGTTACCACCCTGTGTGGGCCGCCCTGGCGCCCTTGCCTGCAGCTGAAACTTCTCCCTATCAACAGCCATGACTACCACCTCTGCCACGTTCCATCCACCAATATCCCACCACATAACACCCAGCTATACAAACTCCAGTTGATCTTAGCTGCTGGCTTCCTTGAATAAGTTTGCGTTCGCAAATGCCTGCAGGAAACCCTAAGATTGCGAGTAACAGATATGGAGAACCAGATCAATGATATCTTTAAGTAACACCACTCAGAGCAGGCTCTGGTCCATTTTTAAATTGACCAGCATGCTAATGCTACAACAAACATTGTGAATTCAGATTCGATCAGCAATCTGCATTTGATATCTTTGTTACTGGAGGCTATACAACGAGCCACCATCATCACTAACTCAATCTTGTGCCTTTGTGTGCTCATAAATGCTGCCTGTAGCCTGTTTTTTGTACTCGAAAACATCTAAAGCATATAATCACCATTTTTCTGTACGTTGCTGGGCCTAGCTAATAGAGCACAGAGGGTGCAAGCATGGACTGGTTCCTGGCTTCCTGTTGCTGCTTGTGTGGCGTTCTTCTAGAGGGTTGACGGTGTGTGTATAACCTGGCATTGACCTGGATTCTTGGTTGCAACTTTACGGATGGAACCTGGCATCGATCAATCTCCTGTCAATTTGCTGAAACTGTTCCCACAAAAACAACTTGAATTTTTCTTGAAAACGTGGAGTTGTCCAATTGGTTCAGTAAACCCAGATACTCTTTGCCGTTCTAGGAAACCTCTTTTGTTTAATGGATCTCTTTTAGTCGATGCGTGGACTGATTCGGGGGGAGATATTTCCAGCTTTTTAATACTGTCACCACAAATTGAGCTGTGGTTCAGACTTGCGTGCTTCTCATTGACATGGTCGTCACTGCATCTGCATTCCTCATGCCTGTCCGTTTCTGGGTACAAGGCCATCTGCACACCCTGTTGTCTGCTTCAGCTGTAGCTCAGACTGTGTGCTGATAACTCAATTCCGCATTGCGCTGATAATCCATCAGGTTAATGCCGTCGCTACGAAATTCAGCTCTAGTTCAGACTTTTTCTTCTCATTGCCATGATTCTCACTGCATCCAGCTTAGAGTGATAACCTTTGTCAGAATAATACTCATTCATGTTCCTTTTTTTTTCTGTGTATATATGCAGGGCCATCTGCACACCTACAGGTTCTGCGACAACGTGTGGACATTCATCCTGACGGACGCGCAGTTCAAGAACGAGGAGACGACCGAGCAGGTGGGCAAGGTGAAGATCGTGGCCTGCGACTCCAAGCTACTCAGCCAATAAGCAGCTCGCTGCCGACTCCCGGAGGCGGGGCTCATTCGATCCCCGCCTCCGCTAGAGAACACCACCACCACCACACCACCCTCTTCATAATCCATGGGTACCTGTAGAAGGATCTCATGCGATGCGACCCTAGAGCATCGCATCGCATCGCAGCCACAGAACTTTTTCCGATCCTTGCCGTGTAATGTTGTTTCCCTGAACTTTTGATATAACTGGTGACTGGAATGAGTAAGTAGCAATCAAAACTTTGTTTGGAAATGTGATGAGACATTTAGCACATCTTGTGTGATGACGGCGTTTTTCCCCGAACTTATGCCGGATTTTCCCAGGCTGCGATGTTATTAATATGTAGCTGGGATTTTTCTGGCCGAGAAATGCTTGTTGCTGCCAACAGCAAGCAGAAAAGCAGGCATTTTTCTTGGCAAACCTTGTTTTGTTTGCAATGCAGTTTCAGCTGGAAAAGTCAAGATGTATGTGTTCCCCTCCGTGTTGAGCTGAGCTCCAATGCCAAGCCTGCACCAGGCAGCACAGCCCTGCAAGCTAAGCTATTGTTGCAATTGGTGGCAGAGAAGAGAATCAAAGCTGAGCGCATGCACAGCAGAGCCGAATGACCGGTGACAAGAGTGAGCAGAGCTGCTCTGCTTTTCTGTGCAGGGCCAGAGCAGAGGCCAGAGGGGCTAGAGAGAGAGAGAGAGAGAGAGAGAGAGAGAGAGAGAGAAGGAATAATAACTGCGTGCATGCATGAGGTGGCTTCCACTGGCAATGGCCACCTTTCAGTTCAGTTCAGGTCTGATTGCTGCTGACCATGAAAGATACTGTAACACACACACACACACACACACACACAATTGCTTCAGTCTTCACCAGGCCACCACTGTTCGTCCTCCTTGACAGAGAAACATGGGAGAAAAATCAAACAGTTTACACAGTGCAAGAGGAAGCTGTGGTGTGTGATTCTTGTCTTGGCTGCTCCAACCAGCAAGCTACACATGTCCATTCATGGCAAGTTCCAACCCCCTTCCTTCCTCCCATTAAGCCATCATCATCATTGCAAAAACAAAAAGGTGCCCTTTTTGAGTGTGAGAAAGTTAGTGGCATGCAAGCTCAGCCTTGACGGCCACACACTTGCTCAGAAAACAGGGGGAGGGGAGGCAGCCAAAGCTCTCTTCCATGTGCCTGCCTGGTTTCAGCTGCTCTACTACCAATCCACTGAGAATTCAGAGCCTTTTGAACATGCTTTTTCACAGACAGTCCAAATTACTACAAGCTGGAAAGGCCTATTGTGATTCTTGTGTTTGCTACTGCTCCAGTCAGCAACCTACACGTATCCATTCCTTTTCTTTTTCTTTTGAACACAGTTCAGACTCGACTCCTACGTACGCACATACACTCATCCTTATGAACACCAGTGTCAAAGTCTAGGATTTGAACCCTGGTGGTTAGCCACGTTTACACTCTTTAAGCCATTGTTTTTGCAAAAAAGGAAAAAAATATGTGTGTTCCTTTTCAGTGTGGCAAGTGGCATTATGCAGAAGGAAAGCTCGGCCTTAATGGCTAAGCACTCACGCTCAGGTCCTAAAACCAAACACTGCACGTATGTACACACACCATTGTTTTCTTCTTCTTGGGGGTCGCTTTCCAACATGGCTTGCCTCCCAAGTTCCCTCATGAAAAAGGCCCATCCATCGATCCTCAAAAAGGAAAAACAAAAAGTCCCCTCCATCCAAAAACGCACTGATAATTAAGTCAGGGTGGCCATGATGAGCAACACTCCTCTTCAGTGTTTGGTTTAATTAACGGCGCAAGTTGCATCATCCGTTTTGTTTATTCCACATGCTCCCAATCTTTGTTTGTTCTGTAGCGCCAGAGTTCCGTACGAAGGCTTCGTTGTTTTCTACTCCCTCGTCCCGAAATACTTGTCTTAAAAATGAACAAAATGGATGTATCTATAATTACTATTTCAACTTTTTTATAATTACTATTTCTCTTTTTGCATACCATGTGCATATTACACACCCAAGAGCCAAGGGGTGTTTTTTCCAAGATCCCACCGCCTTCACATTAAGTCATGTATCATCATCATCATCATTATTGCAAAAAAAGGCAAACTTTTTGGCTTGAGTGATTGCAAGTGGCATGCAGAAAGAAAGCTCAACCTTAATGGCCGGCTAAGCACTCACTCAGACCCAGACCCAGGTCTCAAACAAACACACTGCATGTACACATTGTTTTTCCTTTGGTGTCACTTTCCAACTTGGCTTGGCTCCCAAGTTCCCTCACAAAGGTGATTAACTATATGGCTAAACACATTGTTTTTTAGAAAGAGAAGCAAAAGGCCATCAAGACAATTAATTAACAGTTAGATCAGGAGAGAGACAAACAAACCTGGTGATGAAGAGCACTGCGGCTAGCTCTCCTGCTCCCAGTTGCACCATTTGTTTAACCGCATGCCACGTGTTCCGTACAAGGCAACGTGCCTTGGTGACAACAAAGGTCAGAAAATATGCCTGCCTGCTTAATCCAAATTGTTGTCACATTAGGATAAGAGCAAGATGGATGAGACCAATAAATTCTAGTACCATTTTTTTGCACTGCACATGGAGATATTTTCTTGCATATAAATAATAATATACAGCAGTATATGTAAAAAACTTGAACAATTAGGACAGTTGCAATCAGGAGATCAAATGGTTCGTGTTGACAGTCAAGATAATTAGCTTTCCTGGAGAGAACTAAGCATTCTGCCCTCACCTAACCGATTCCTATTAAGGTGTCATTTTCGCCATCCTTTTTCTTCTCTTTGGCTTTGCTTTTGAACATGTCATCGCACGGGAAGAAAAAGAAAAGAGAAATATTCGTGTGGCCACAAAGGCGAGGAGGCGGCCACCATGGACGGACGGGCAGCCCGGTTTGTTTATATGTGATGTGATGAATGCCACATGAGGCTGCTCTGCTGACCCACCCACCCCCTCCCTGCTCTGCTCTGCCATTACTTGGCGTGTGCTGCTGCCGCTGCTGAGGTGAACAGGAGAGAGAAGAAGAAGAATAGAAGAGCAAGCAGTGAGAAGTCTGAGAGAGAGAGAGAGAGAGAGAGAGAGAGAGAGAAGAAGAGCAAGGAGGAGATGGAGGTGCAGGCTCGCCATGGCGTCCTGCCAACAGGGAGGCAGCAGCACCTCCATGGCCATGGCCAATCTCACCATCAAGCTCCCGCGGGTAGGGGTCTCTGCAAGAACTCTTGGCCATTCCGTTCTTCCCCCCTCCTCTTGGCCGACAGTTCTTCGCTCTCTCTTCTTTTTCTGCTTCTCCCGTCCAGTGATCTTCCTCCGCATTTCTAATAGAAATTTTACTTCTTGGGAAGCCATTGCCAGTTGATAGCCCTGTTTGATCGAATCTTTGGAAGGCTCTGCTTGGTTCTTGGTTCTTGTGGTGCTCTGCTCTCTCAAATTCATGCCCCCCCTCCTCCTCCCCCTTTCCCCGTCTCCCCTGGTTTTACTGGCTTCCGAGGAGTGGCTTGCGCTTTGATCTCTGGGCCAAAAACTTTCTGGGAGGTTTGTTTGTGCCTCATCTATCTTCTTGTTCCATTATTACAAGCAGGAGCAACAGAGGCAAAAAAATTTCTTGTTTTCAGGGATGCATCATGCAGGTACAGTGAAAGATCGGCTCTGCACAAGGAAAAGATTCTCAATAGTGAAATTTATTAGATATGATGGTCTTTTAACCTTTTGATTCCTGGGAACCAGTAGTAGCAAGGCCTGCAGTGTGAATCACCAGAGAGAGGGAGAGAGGGATTTGTGTGGGAAATTTGGGCTTATCTGCATATTGTCTGTGATCCAGTTGGCTCACAGCTTTTGTGACTCCCCTTCTTTCCTTTCAAACCACAAAAATGCCCTGAAAGTTCTGATAAAATTCATAAATGCAGTTGAAAAACAAAATGCAGCTGTGAACTCACTGATTTTCTTCTCTTCTCAGAGGCACTGATTCCATGTCTTTTACCACTGTATAACAAAACAAACAAATTTGCAGGAGAGGATGAGTGGTGGGAGTACTTCCCATGCCCCTTCTGCTACATTGAGGTGGAGGTCCCCTTCCTCTGTGACCACCTGCAGGAGGAGCACTGCTTCGACATGAGGAATGCTGTAAGAACAAACCATTGTGCATTTCCCAATCTGGTGATTGAGTGGCTTCTCTTGATGTAACAAATCTGCATTTCCCTCTCTGGTGATTGAGTGGCTTCTTCTTCTTCTTCCAGGTGTGCCCGATCTGCGCCGACAACCTCGGGGCCGACACGACAGGGCATTTCAGGGAACGGCACTCACAGCAACTCAAGGTACAGTGAAACTTCCATCTTCACTGCCAGTAATGTCACAACAACAGGCATTGCATTTTGCAAACCACATTGCAGCTCACTGTCAATGCCATTTTGATCACAGATGAGGAAGTCGTCTTCTTCCAGAGCAGGGGCAGCAGGTTCTGACAAGGAGGCATATGAAGAGGACGACTCCTACTTTGAAGAATCATCGTACATCATGGGCCAGCCGGTTCCTGATGATCATTCACCTGACCCTCTGCTCTCCCAGTTCATCTGCACGGTCGCGCCTCCGGTCGTCGATCCGGAGCCCAGCAAGGCCGAGGAGGAGGATCATGCTGCACCGTCCTCGGATGATCAGAGGTATGATTAGTGCAGATACTGTTGAAGGTTGGGAGTGAAAGATGGCCCTGAATATGAACAATGGTGGCTGACTGCCCCAAATGATCTGCTTCCTTCTTGCTTGCAGGCTGAATCAGGTTGTCATGGACGATGCGTCGAAGAAGGACCTCGAGGAGCGGTTGCGGAGGGTCGAGTTTGTGAAGCAGATGCTGATGACAACGATAGCTTGGGACTGATTATCCAGGGCTGGTTATAGCACTTGACTAGCTAGGATTGCTCAGGATCTTGGAAGTGCCATTTTTGTTGAGATTGACCCTTTGGTACATGTATACCTGCAACCTTGGATACCTGAATTGACCAATCTTGATCCTTTTAAGCTAAGCTTTGGTTATCATCATGTCTCTTTCCAGGAGAAACCAGTTGGACTCTTCTTTACATAATTGATTGACAGACACCCACTCTTTTGCATTAAAGTACACATGATGCAAGAACATAAACTTTCTCAGCAAAGAAGAAACATCCAGCAAGTACATTGTACAAGCAAAAATGGCAGGTAGAATCGCACCATATTTGATCAAAAATAATGTATTGGACATCAAAATTTGCGGCAGAAGAGCTACAGGGAGTGGATCCTGCAAAACATAGGGCTATCCATTCACTATAGTTTTGCAAATGACAGAACTGCGACAGTCATACATTGTTCAGGCTTAACAAATGAATTCCTTGACTCCAAGGAGACCTAAGAAGTCAGATTGCAGATTCATGTAGACCATACTGCTGTATCAGCGGCTTGCACCACGACCATGAGTGCTCAGTGCCTCAGTCCACCACATGTCTAGAAATAGCTGCTCTCGATCGCAATCTTCCAAAGGGCATGGCCAATTCTCATAGGTATCCCTTGGTGATTTGTTCTTGCAGTTCGTCGAAGTTCCAAGCATCATTGACCGAATAGTCACCTGTGAAGCAGACATAAAAATCAATGGCATAAAAGTACTTGCATTTTCCAAGCCAAAGAGACTTATGTGCCTTGAAAACACATATGTATATAACGCTCGTATATACTTCCTCCGTCCCAAAATTCTTGTCTTAAATTTGTCTAGATACGGATGTATCTAACACTAAAACGAAACTAGATACATCTGTATTTAGACAAATCTAAGACAAGAATTTTGGGACGGAGGGAGTATATACTAGTAAAAAAACACAGGATGTATATAATGCTCATATAAAACATACCAATTGAGTCCCTCCGAAGGGCAGTTAAATGAGCACAGCTGCAGAAAAATGCATACATTAGACTTAGTCATCACAACGTATCAGCATACAAAAGGTGGAGGTATCCAAGGACAGTAGTAACTCATGACAACTACAACAACAGGATTCTTCTCAGACCACACATGAAAAGATAAAAGTGAACCATTAAATGCTTCCAGAAAAATAAAATGGAAGACACTTTTGTGATACTATAGTCAACAGAATCAGTACCACAAGCTAGTCAACTATGGTACAATAGTTAAATTCCAAAAAAGAACCCCCCAGTTCAATGAAATGCAAATACTTGTTGCACATGAAATTCTATCACTCACTGGGGAGAATACAAGTTGCTGAACTAATAAGATGATAACAAGGTAACATGATATTTGCACACACACACACACACTTGTAACACAATCTTCTTTTCGAGAAGCGAAGAAATAAATATGAAGGTAATTATGGCCTTTTATTCAGTTAAATCATGTCACACATAGAGGAATATATGCAAACAAAACAAAGCTCTACAACAAGAATAATAGAGCAGACCTTCGAAGCGCTTTCCCCAAGTCTGCACAGAGGGACCGAATATATGTTCCTTTCGAGCAAGTAACTCGAAATATCAAATTTTGCCTGTAGATTGTAAATAAAATTTATCTTCAAGAGGATTCAAACATGGCATGAGAGTATGACACGCTTAAGTATGGATCTATATTGTCCACTTGGAATTTGAAGGTCGGAAAAGGAAGAATACCTGTCTTCTAAACTGCGCTCAATATCAAACTTGTATATTGATATACGTCTTGGTGAAAGCTCTATCGATTCGCCCCTCCTTGCCTTGTCATACATTTTTTCACCACCAACCTGATGGCGATGATCAATTGCAAAAACACAAGTTATGAACCTATTGCATCATGGTTGGTTGATAAGCGGTGAGTAATAGGCATGAAAAACCCATGTGCCAACACACTGAAGACATAACAATTAAAAATTATATTGTCCCAGCATCATAGCCTACTATTATTCGATATAATATTAATGGATTATCTATCATCCTCTTGCTTGGCCGAAGAACGGAATATACTGGTAATTCTACATTTCTGTGACAAGATAATGTAATCACAAGTGTACAAATGGCTAGCCAAGGATCAAAAACCATACCCAATTACAACTTCATGTCATTATTTACAGCAGCTACAGTATGATAGGGCGGCTATGCCGCTATGGTGAAAAAAATGCATCTTATCTTTCAATGCCCTTCTCTTTTTTTCCCCATAAATACGAACAGCGTAGACTGTTATGCAAATGAGGCGTGAGACATGTTGTGCAGACCATCCAGGTTACAAAGACACTCATCCATAGATAATAAGAAGTTAGAAAGTAAAGGACTAGCAACAGCATGACATAAGTTACAATGAGTAAACAATGGCTTCAGTATACAAGAATATAGTGTACCTTAATGGCAGAAAACATCGGAGGAACTTGCCATATTTCACCCATGAATGATGCTGCTGCCTTTCTAATATCTTCATCTTTGATGTGTTCCCATGATTCCCTCTGAATAACCTGTCCACAAATGGGGATGGTTAGGCATAATATAAACTAAATGGCACGTGATTCAAATCAAGCAGGTGTGAACATTAACAGTTTTCAGTAGGTAGCTAGGATTGAGGGACAAAGAACAATTGGATGTGACTTATTGTCCTTGAATAAAAGGTGAGATTGAATAAATCAAAATTTAAGATCCTAATGGCAACATATCAGGTGCAAATCTTCAGGGCCCAATAGGATAACCTGGCTTTATTCAGCACCAAATAAACATGAAAATTAATGCAATTTATTATGTAGTCTATGAAGTGTTATAGCACTCTTCAAAATATCAGCACCAAACTCAAAATGTGTTAAAAGAAACAAAGGAAAGATAAGTTCAGTGTGAATAGTAACAGTATCCCCTTTCCTTCTGATTCAATCTGTCACAATTTTCACATTATTCCTACTAACAGAAAATGAATTTGAAGTTCAAGATATACATGTAGAGTAAGTTCAGAAGTACATGTATACTTATTCATGTTGATTTGGTGCCTCAACTGACCAAGTTCTATGACCTAGGGTGGTTTGCACCTCAAACCTCGTATGTGTTGGTCTTAAACACACTGATTTCTGTGACATTGTATATAGCATGATTTCTGTGACATTGTATATAGCAAAAGGATAGAATTAAAATCATCACAATTCAGAGGATAACACAAATTCGTATAGAGTTCAACTACACTAACTGAGAATGAGACATTGGTCATATCAGTCAACAAGGTAATCACTAATCAGGTGTTTTTTTTTTTCAGGATAGAATATCTACATTCCAGTTTGGTGCATTGAACATTCCATAGGTAGCATAACTAATTGTGAATCTAATAAGTTGGTATTCCATTATACTTCCTCATATGATTCAGATCATATAAGTCAAAAGTAGACCCATTTGATAGTTCCTATAATAGAAGAATGCTCAGCAGATCAATGTAAAGATATTAAGATGTATACTGGTGAATCTGCATCCCAGGTTGATGTTGCTTCTCCAAGCCGGAAAACACCACTATAGCCTTTAACCATGCCTTGATATCTTGAAATCACAAAAACAATGAGTCAGGAAATAAGCTTTAAGTTAATGCTAGTGCAGGGGAGACGACTACGATGTCATCAGTCCAGTTCTTCAGAATGCAGATGATATTATTCCAAGACATAACAATATAGAATAACTTGAAATTGAAATGTGATCATTGAAAGGAAGATTGTTCCAGTAACCATGAAGGTTGTCCTGAAAAGAGAAGATAAGAAAGTACGTACCTATCAACAACTTTGGTTGCTTTGCCCACACAAACAATCAACAATCCAGTGGCCATAGGATCCAGAGTACCAGCATGGCCAACCTGCAACCGGAGATACCATAAACATGTGGGGGAGCAAAAACCACATTAACCACACACCATGAAAACTGCGAAGTCACCTTTTGCACTTTCACCAACCGCCGTAGTTTTCCACAAACAGTAAATGAGGTCCACCCTGAATTCCGTAAAAATAACATTTTGAGTTGGTAGGAAGACAAGTTCAGTATCATTGCCAATGGCATTTCTTTTACTAATTACATGACTTCAAGAAAACTGTCCAAATAAAAGGTGCTGCTACGGTAACAGGACATGTAATGTATGTACTCACATAAACAAATCAGTAATTCAAAATGCCAAATCTAAACTCATAAAGCATGAACTCCAGATCAGGACCATTTTATGGAAAAGTTCGTGAACCTGCAATGTTACATATACATCTGAATTCAAATGTACCACAAGCATCTAACCCACCCATTCTGCCAATTCTAAAAAAGGGCTGCAAGTAAGCATTTACAGACACCGCATCTACATAAAAGGCTGATTGGTGGTATGCATCTCAAAATATGTGCTCATAATTAGCATCACCATCGGCACACTACACAACCAAATACATGCCACTGCTGTGTTAACAACACACACTGCAATTCAGGTACACTGATATGGCCATGACATCTTATGGCATTCCCATGAGACTATGAAAGCATTCATCAATGTGGAAGAGAGCGCGTCACCTTTGGGCTTGTCGATGAACACGACGGTCCCAGTCGGCCCATCCCACCGAGGCGGCAGCTCCGTCCTCGTGCTCGCGAGGTGCGGCCGCGGCCAGTCTTCTTCCTCCCTCTCCGCATCGCGCTTCACCTGCCTCGGCGCCCCTCCCAACACCGGCTTCTTCTTCGCCGTCGAAGCGTCGTCAGCCTTCCCCTCCCCGGGCCCTTTCTTCAGGGCCCTGAAGAACTCCTCCACCTTCCTCTCCAGCACCTCCCCCTTGTCCGCCCCCTCCTTCTTCCCGACCTCCCCGCCCTCCTTCTTCTCCTCCTCGATGAAGACGAGGCCCTTGTCGGCGTCGGAGGGCGGCGCGTCGGCGTCGGCGGCGACGAAGGCGT